TGTGCCGGGGGAATGGGACGCTGGGGCTACAGTGACAGGAGGACCTCGGAAGACAAGCCTGGGGGTGAAGGGATCAGGGTGCTGGTGCAGAGGAGACAGGATGTCCCTACTGTGAGGGCCCCGGGGAGGTCTCCACAAGGCCACGGCGGGGCCTGGAGGACTCCAAGGACAGCACGTCCTGGGCGCGGGGCTGGGCAGAGCGCCATTGGGTGGCCTCACGCCTGTGCCACTGATCCCCTGGGCCGCTGCCTGGGCAGCACAGGAGAGCCTGTCTTCCAGCGGTGTCCCTCCAGGGCCCTCCATGCGAAAGCTCAGTACTGTGCTCACTGTACGGGAGAGGCAGAAGGGACCTACGTCTGTCATCCCAGAGCAGGTATTGAAGGGTGGCTGTGCGTGGAGCCGAGAGGCGGAAAGTTCACAACAGGTGTGAAGGTGAGTGGGTGTGGGGCAGGCACGGCCCCGAGGAGTGCGCAGGCAGGCGGCCACGGCTCTCGTTGGCCCCTACGGTGTCTTCCAACCTCAGGAGATGAAAGCCCAGGAAAACGCTGTGAAATAATTGTGCTGATCAGGCCATTAATGGCGGTGCAGGGGGCTCTCAGGCGCTGAGGATCTGGGTCCTACAGGCCTGGGCTTAAGGCCAGCTTCCCCTGCTCAGGCGGAGCCAGTGAAGTGTAGATGTTGGGGAAATCACTGAGTCCCCTCGGGCTCAGTGTCTCCACTGTGAAAATGGAGGCAGGGGCCCCTGGGTGGTTCCGTCGGTTGGGCGTCCAACTCTTGGTTTTTGCTCGGGTCATGCTCTCGCAGTTCGTGGGTCTGAGCCCCGCATCGGGCTCTGTGCTGACAGTGTTGAGCCTGCTTGGGATTCTCTCTCTTTGCGCCTGCCCCACTTTCACTTTCTGCCCCTCCCCAGCTCGCTCGCTCTCTCTCTCTCTCAAGAATGGAAAAACTTAAAAAAAAAAGAAAAAAGAAAATAAATGGGGGCAGTGCTCTTACACACCATGTAGGATTGTTGTGAACGGTACATGAAATAATGCATTTTTTTTTTTTTTATGTTTGTTTATAGAGGGTGCATTTCTACATCTGCAACATTTTGGAACTCTGTACCCACTTGCCGCACTCTAGTCTGGACGGCTGTCTCTGCTTGCCTGGATGGTGGCAGTAGCTTGCTAAACAGTCCCCGTTTCCCCTTTTTTGGGGGTAAACACACAGCCTTATTAAGATACGGTTCACATACCCTGCAGTTCACCTATTGAAAGTGTGCAATTAGCAGATTTAAGTATATTCACAGAGTTGCGTGACCGTCACCCCAATCAATATTCAAACACATCATGACCCCAAAAAGCAACCTCACAGCTATTACCTGTTCTTACTCTTGCCCACTGCAGGGTCTTCTCTGCTCAGCAGGCAGACAAGACCGTTTAATAATGTCAGTCGGATCAGGCCAGCCCCTGCCGGTGACCCTCAGTGATCCCCGCTGTGCATGGAGTAGACTCCAGACTACCTGCCCCAGACAAGGCCCCGTGTCTTCTGGCTGCCCCTTCCTCCTCTGCCCTGCTCCCCTGCGGTTGGAGTATTCTAGCCACGCCAGTCTTTCCATGAGCACGTGCGCCAGGCTGCCTCCCACCTCTGGATCTTGGGTTTCTGTTCCAGTTTGTCCAGATTGTGCTTCCTTTGTACAGTTGCATGCAGCTGCTGCTTGTCCCCCGGCTCAGCCGTCACACCAGCCTCCCTGACCATCCAGTCTCCCTGAGCCACATGCCTCCACCCCCCCCCCCCCAACCCTGCTTGCCCAGGCCTTATTTAATTTGGGTGGTTGTACCCTGTCTCCCTCCCTCCACTAGAGAATAAGCTCCAGAGGGGGAAGAGCCGTCTGTTTTGTTCACTCCTGAATGCCCAGTGTCCAGGTGAGGGCCCAGCACGTCGAACACACAAGACAGAGTAAGTAGGTGAATGAGCAGGGGACCAAAGAGAAGCAGTGATTGCTGGTCTTATGTTATTGTTGTTGGTACGTGTCCAGTAAATGCTATTGACCTGAAAGTCAGGTTGATCGTGTATTGAACGTGTGCGGGTTATGTCCAGTGCGGGTGAAAGTGAATAAATGAGGTCAAGTTGGCTAAATGACATGGCCTCGGGGCTAACTGTGCTTGGTTCAGGTGACACAAAGTTTTTTGTTTTGTTTTTGGTTTTGCTTTTATTTATTTATTTGTTTGTTTACTAAATTTACATCCAAATTAGTTAGCATATATAGTGCAACAGTGATTTCAGGAGTAGATTCCTTAGTGCCTCTTCCCCATTTAGCCCATCCCCCCTCCCACACCCCCTCCAGTAACCCTCAGTTTGTTCTCCATGTTTATGAGTCTCTTCTGTTTTGTCCCCCTCCCTGTTTTTATATTATTTCTGCTTCCCTTCCCTTCTGTTCATCTGTTTTGTCTCTTAAAGTCCTCATATGAGTGAAGTCATATGACTTTTGTCTCTCTGACTAATTTCACTTAGCATAATACCCTCCAGTTCCATCCACATAGTTGCATATGGCAAGATTGCATTCTTTTTGATTGCCGAGTAATACTCCATTGTGTGTGTATGGATAGATAGATATAATAGATATAGATATAGATATAGATATAGATATAGATATATAGATATAGATATACATCACATCTTCTTTATCCATTCATCCATTGGTGGATATTTGGGCTCTTTCCATACTTTGGCCATTGTTGATGGTGCTGCTATAAACATGGGGGTGCGTGTGTCCCTTCGAAACAACACACCTGCATCCCGTGGAGAAATGCCTAGTCGTGCGATTGGTGGGTCTAGGGTAGTTCTGTTTTTAGTTTTTTGAGGAACCTCCATACTGCTTTCCAGAGTGACTGCACCAGCTTGCACTCCCACAAAGTTTTTATTTTAGCCTGTGCCGAACGTTCACCCCTGTTTTGTCGTGGGGCTGTGAGAAAGGAGCAAAGATGCTGCTCCAACATCGGTTCCCGGACCAAATTGTCCTTCGTTCCAGAGGGACGCTCGATAAATGCTTACTGTTCTGAATTTCACAGAGAATGAACCACACCGAGCCCCTCTCCCATCTTTTGCCACCACAATGCATCCTGCGACGACCCTCCTGCTACTTTGTGCACATGCACACGTCTGCGGCTTACGTGACGAGCGGCCCGACCTGGCAGCTTGCCGTGCAGAGCGTTCTGCTAAAACAAAACAGACAAAACTCATGTGAACAGCCGACCTGATGGTTTTGTTAAGGTCATTCTCTAGCTTTCGCTTAGAAACCCTCAACTGCGGGAGCCATCGTTACAGGATTATTACAGGATGGGGAGAGGGGTGCTGGCTCACATCACGGAGGGGTCAGTCATGACCGCGGTTTCCACTAACCCAGAGGTCTGCTCCCCGTCAAGTGATTCCCCCCTCTCTCCTTCCTGCTTCCTGCCTTCAGTGTGCACTTAGCGAGTGTCCACCGATGGCCAGCACGGGTGCTGCTTATACGCAGACAGCGGCGGTTTGGGTCCCTCTGGTCCAGGCCTGCGTGTGTCTCTGGCCTTTGGACAACCGAGAACAGGGCCAACACAGATGAGTTACTAGGAGTAAAACCTGTCTGATCACATATGCCCCACTCGAGCACCGATTTACTGGAATGAAGATGCTAGTTGTATTTCTTTGATTTTTTGTTAACTGTTTATTTTTGAGAGAGAGAGAGAGAGAGTGACAGAGTGACAGAGTGCGAGTAAGGTAGGGGGCAGAGAGAGAGAGCGAGACACAGAAGCAGAAGCAGGCTCCAGGCTCCAAGCTGTCGGCACAGAGTCTGATGCCGGGCTTGAACTCACGAACTGGGAAATCATGACCTGAGCCAAAGTCAGATGCTTAACCGACTGGGCCACCCAGGTGCCCCCGAAGATCCTATTTTTAAGGAAGAGCATTGTGTTTCGTCATGGGAATTTTGAGCATCTGGACAGGCAGCTTGCTGATGACCGGGGGGCTGAGTCTGCTCCGCTCTGTACCCCAGCACCCCACCAGGGCCTGCCTGGCGCGTAGGAGGATGGGAAGAAGGGAGGACCGTGGTGGACCTGCAGTTACATAAGTCATCATTTGCCTGTCTGCTTGGTTTCACTTCGCTTGGCAACGTGGTTGGGGGGCCGGCAGGGCTGGGGTTTCTGCCTTGTGTTTGGGCCCTCCGGAAGGACAGGTGTTCTCAAGAGTGGCTTCGTTCCCCCGGACATGGATTGCCCTGCCTTGTGCGGGCCGCCTGGGAGCAAGTGCACGAATGTGCCCACCTCGCAGGGCAGCCCGGGCAGCTGGGGGCTCAGTCGGCCCACAGTGGGCACGCCGGCCTGGCTCTGGGTGACACCGGGCCCCGAGCCAGTGTCTTCCTGGCTGGCTCCTCTGGGCTGTGGCTCAAAGGAGATCCGGGTGTGGGGAGATTCTTCGCCTCCTTTACCTGGTCATCTGGGTGGATCCGGGCAGCATGCTGGAAAGACACCGGGTTTTCTAGCAAGACGGAAGTCGTTCGAGGCCGGACTCTGGTTTCTCACATCTTGGCGCACTTGGTTGCTTTACTTTTTATTTTGTTTATTTTTAAGCAAATAGACATTTTGGGGGGTGATTAGAATTGCGATTTGAGAGACACAGATTGAGGTAGAAATCTTAATGGGATTCTCCGTGGGTGCTGTATTATAACTGCTGTGGGCTCTCCTCTCTCATCAGCAAAATGTAAAGTAGAGGTAACGTGTTGCTCTGTATTTACTTTTTAACTTAAATCTCCTTTTAAAAATGAATCTTACACTTTGATGACGTGAGTAATCTGGGCTTGCGGACAAAGCGTATTTTGGACCACAGCTTCTTAGAAGCCTTGGCTCTGTTTTCCCCTCTCATGATGATGAAGTCCCATTCGTGGCCGTTGTCCTGACCCAGTAAAAGTTGCTCTAGAGGAGCACGTTCGGAGAGAAGTGGACAGGTGTGGGCGTGGCCTTGACGGTGTGGCTGTGTCTTTCCCACAGGTGCTGTGAGTGGCTGAGATGCTGCGGTGGAGGGGAGCCCAGGCCCCGCACTGTGTGGTTGGGCCACCCCGAGAAGAGGGACCAGAGGTACCCTCGGAATGTCATCAACAATCAGAAGTACAACGTCTTCACCTTTCTTCCAGGGGTGCGTACGGGCAGAGGCCACAGCCTTTATTTTTTTCTCACACCGGATGTGGGTGGTGGTACCGGGTCTTAGAAGACCGAGGTCCCCGGGGTACCTGGGTGGCTCAGTCGGGTAGGCGGCCGACTCTTGGTTTTGGCTCAGGCCATGATCTCACGGTTGGTGAGTTTGAGACCCGAGTCTGACAGCAGGGAGTCTGCTTGGGATTCTTTCTCTCTCTCTCTCTCTCTCTCTCGCCCCTTCCCCGCTCACACTCTTCCTGTCTCGCAAAAATAAATAAATATTTTTTAAAAAGAGAAAAAAGACAAACGTCCCTGTGGCCGGATAACCTGGGTCTTTTCCAGGCTGCCTTCGCCGCTGCCTGTCCATCTCCCGTGTCCTGAGTACCTAGCAGGGGGGGCGGGCTGCCTTCTGAGATTTCTGCTTTGAGACGCCACCTGATCCATTAGAATAACGTCACATTTAGTTGGTGTGTTAGCGGCAAGAGTGAAAAAGATATTTTGGGGACCCAGCATTGTAACCAAAATACCAAAAAAAAATCTACAAAAACCAAAATCCCATCATTGCCTAAAGTATCCCTTCTGTCATCATGAAACACATATTCAGTATAGTAAAGTCAGGAGATACAAGTATGGAGATTTTTTTTTTTTTTTAAAGGTAAGTTTTAATCCTACCATCCAGAAGGAATTGCTGTTGGCATTTTTGCTAATGAATATTTTGGATGTGCTTACTTAATATTTTGTGCTCTGGAGTCCTGGTGCTAGCATTTCCACATTAGCTTAGGCCAATCTGTGGATTTCAGCTCTACAGACCTTCCCCCGCCTCCCAACATGTGCTTGAATTGAATGCCTATTTTTACCCGACACACACTGGCTGACTTTAGAAGCAGCAGCAGTGATCAGTTTCAGTGCTGGAAGGGGAAAGAAAAAAAAAAAAAAATGAGTGTTTGATTTATTGAGAGAGGTTCCAGAAACACAAACGTGTAATGCTGTGGCTTACGGTCAATTTGAATGTTTTTTTAAGGGCAACTCTGACTGCCTTCACTGCTTCATTCAGCCCACATCTCCCCCCACCCCCCCAAATGTCAGCATCTTAAATCAAGAAAAATTTTATTTCTCCTTCATGGAAATTCTGGTGCCGAGCGGCCACACTCTCTTCCGTGTTGCGGCTACACCGTCTGGAACACGAGGCCTCCAGTATCTCCATGACTGAGCAAGAGTGAGTTGGCTGAAAATGGCTCTTTACTGCCTCAGCCTCCAAGAGACACATCATTTCCGCTCAGCGCCCCAGGCAAGGCGTGTGGTGCCAGACTCCCCACCCCCCCCACCTCCCAGGGCACTTGGGAGCCATCGAGGCTCCCCCACAACCCGCCTCCACACAGGACAGGATTCCGCTCTATTTTATGGTGTTGAGATCATATCGTGGAGATGAGAGGTTACCTCGTTTTCTTGATCAGTAAAGACATTTCCCACTAAAACCTCTTCTGAGCATTTTGAGCAGCCTCCCTGTACTTACAAAACAGTTTTTAAGAAACAACTTGTCACAGATAAAGTGGAAGCCCCCGGCATGCCCTCCCCGGCCCCAGAGGCACCCACTGTCTTGAATTTGGTGTTAATAATTTCCGTGTGTATCATTGTTTGTTTCTTCATTTTTTTTTTTTTTGACTTTTACGAATTCTGTTTTGATTACCCACATGTGTTTTCCTAAACAATACGCAGGAGCGTTGAAACTACGTAGGAGGCATCATGGGAGTTGTGCTCGTCTGCAGGGCTGCTCTCAACTGTTAATCACCTCGGACTCGACCCCCCGCAGGTGCATCACTCGAGCCGTGACTGTCTCTCTTCTCTCTCTCCTCTCTCTTGTCGTTGCAGGTGTTGTTCAACCAGTTCAAGTATTTTTTCAACCTCTATTTCTTGCTCCTTGCCTGCTCTCAGTTTGTTCCTGAAATGAGACTTGGTGCACTCTACACCTACTGGGTCCCGCTGGTGAGTAAGGGGCGTGGTTTGTTCGCTGACCGCGGGGTTTGGGAACAGACGCTTCTTTGTCTCTCTCACCCGGGCATCTGCAGCCTTTTACGCGACAGGACAGCCTCAAGCCCCCCCCCCCCCCCAGGATTAAAAAAATTTTTTTAATGTTTATTTATTTTTGAAGGAGAGAGAGACAGAACATGAGTGAGGGAGGGGCAGAGAGAGACGGAGACACAGAATCCGAAGCAGGCTTCAGGCTTTGAGCTGTCAGCACAGAGCCCGACGCGGGGCTCAAACTCACGAACCGCGAGATCATGACCTGAGCCGAAGTCGGCTGCTTAACCGACTGAGGCGCCCAGGCGCCCCTATATTTTTTAATTAAAAAAAAATTTTAATGTTTATTTATTTTTGAGAGAGAGAGAGAGCGCGTGCACAAGTGGGGGAGAGGCAGAGAGAGAGGGAGACACAGAATCCGAAGCAGGCTCCAGGCTCTGAGCTGTCAGCACAGAGCCCGACATGGG